GGTGGCATCTCCTGGAGGTTCTGGTGACCTCCATGGAGACCTGAAGACCTGGTGGCCTCCAAGAAGACTTACTTGGCACCTCCTGAAGGTTCTGGTGGCCTCCCCGAAGCCCTCGAGACCTCCAGGAAGCCCTGAAGAACCTCTCCCAACCCCCCCCCCACGCCCTGGAGACCTCCCCGAGGAGAAGACCTTGAGGTGGAAGTGGAGGACGATGATCATCTCGCCGTCGCAGGGCTGGAAGACGGCGTGCTTGATGTTGTTGTAGAGGATGTCCACCTTGTCCCCCCGCACCGAGGTGAAGCGGAACCCTGAGGAGAAGACAACCCACCGCTGGGGCCGGCAGGTCCCCGGGGGGGTCTCCGGGAGGTCTCCGGGAGGTCCCCGAGGTCCCTACCGTTGACGTGGGCCTCCAAGGAGCCCTGCATCCTCTTCTGGGCGATGTTGGGCCGGATGTAGAGGTCCTTCAGCTTGGGGTTGCTGCGGTTCAGGTTGATGACCAAGGAGTCTTGCTTGACGATGCCCTGGAGGAGATGGGGGAGGAGGATCTCAGGGGGGTTCAGGAGAACCTCAAAAGGTTCATCTAGGGGGGTCCAGGTTCTCAGGGGAACCAGGAGGTTCCATAAAAACATCAGGAGAGCTTGAGAAATGATGGTGGATCTCCAAAAAACCTTCACCTTGGTGGTAGGAGAACCCCAAAAACCTTCATCTGGGTGGGACCAGGTTCTCAGGAGAACCAAGAGGTTCCATAAAAACATCAGGAGACCTCAAAAAATGATGGTGGACCTCCAAAACACCTTCATCTTGGTGGTAAGAGAACCCAACAAACCTTCATCTTGGTGGTCCCACCACCTCAGAAGACCACGGAGACCCCATAAAACCTCCATCTTGTTGATCCCACCACCTCAGAAGACCACAGAGACCCCATAAAACCTCCAACTTGGTGGTCCCACCATCTCAGCAGACCACAGAGACCCCATAAAACCTCCATCTTGGTGGTCCCACCTTCTCATAAGACCCCAGAGACCCCATAAAACCTCCATCTTGGTGGTCCCACCACCCTGGGAGGCCCCACGGGGGCGGGTTCCTCACCTCCTTCTCCTTCTCCTCGGCCTCGCGGGTCTTGTAGCGCTTCTGCACCTCCTTGATGATGCGGAAGGCGGTCTCAGGAGAACCAGGAGACTCCATAAAACCATCAGGAGACCTCAAAAAATGATGGTGGACCTCCAAAAAACCTTCATGTTGGTGCTAGGAGAACTAGGAGAACACCAAAAACCTCCATCTTGGTGGTCCCACCACCTCAGAAGACCCCAGAGACCCCATAAAACCTTCATGTTGGTGGTCCCACCTTCTCATAAGACTCCAGAGACCCCACAAAACCTTCATGTTGATGGTCCCACCACCTCAGAAGACCCCAGAGACCCCATAAAACCTTCATGTTGGTGGTCCCACCTTCTCATAAGACTCCAGAGACCCCACAAAACCTTCATGTTGATGGTCCCACCACCTCAGAAGACCACAAAGACCCCAAAAAACCTCCATTTTGTGGTCCCACCACCTCAGCAGACCATGGAGACCCCATAAAACCTCCATCTTGTTGGTCCCACCACCTCAGCAGACCACGGAGACCCCATAAAACCTCCATCTTGTTGGTCCCACCACCTCAGAAGACCACAGAGAGCCCA